GCCGGTCACTGCCCAGATCAGGCCGCCCTTCCAAATTAAGCAGCTGGGCAAGCAGGAAACTGTGAAGCCAACAGTGACTTTCAAAGACTTGCAAAGTTCCAAGCCTGAGATGGGAGTCAGGTTCATACATTGACGATATCCCAGTTCCTACACAAAGCTGGCCTGTATAGGGGAATGGGAAAAAGAAGATTCACTGAAAAAGAATCATCTTAAATCTCATATGGAGTTTGCCACAAAGTATGTGGCAGAATGTTTTGTTGGTCAGACGACAGTTTTGGTCTAAATTTAAAGCAATACATCTGGCGCAAGCCCAACACAGCACCTTACACAGTCAACACCATCCCAACTGTTAAACATGGTGGTAGCAGTATCATGTTATGGGGATGCTTTTCATCAGCAGAAACTTGGAAACTTTTCAGGATTGACGGGGATGATGCAAAGTATAAGTGAACCCCAGAGGAAAACCAGCTTGCGCCAGCCAATAAACTGAAACTATGTCAAAAATTCACATTTCAGCAGGATAATGACCCGAAGCTCAAGGCCAAAGCCACACTGGAGAGGTTTCAAAAGAAGAAAGTGAATGTTGTCGAGTGGCCTAATAAAAGTCCTAATTTGAATCCAATAGAAAATTTATGGTAAGACTTGGAGATTGCAGTCCATCAACAATCCTCAACAAACTTTTCATAGTTGGTGCAATTTTGCCAAGAAGAATGGGCAATAGTTGCTCCATCTCATTGTGCAAAACTGGTAGAGACCTATCCAAAAAGACTCGTAGTAGTAATTGCTTCCACCAAGTATTGACTTAGGGAGCTGAACACTTATGAATCAGCAAATTTCAATTTATATATTTTCTTTGCAGGTTTTGCTGACATTCAGTCTCCTTCAACATAACAGTGTTAAGTTTGATCAGTAGAGTTTTGAATAAAAACAAATTCATCAAAAAGTTTTTACACTATTTGTAATACATCAAAGTGTGACATTATTGGTACGGGGTGAATACTTTTGCAAGGCACTGTAACTCCAAGACGCAAGTTTCTGGTGAAGTAGGAAATGACATAATAACTATATAAAGAGAGTTACAGTCAGCGGAAAATATCTTCTAAACCGAAAGTATCAAAAGCTGGAGATCAAACATATTCAAAATATTCGATAAAGCGAATATCATTGATAAAAATAGCAGGTCCGGAAGACTATTTGGTCTTTCCAGATGAAACGTAAGTACATTAGGCTTACTTCACTCATAATACATTGTAAAATTGATTTACTGCAGAACTTCCAGAAACCATTGGTGTCAAAGTTGATCTTTTCACGGTGCGTCAAAATAACTGAAGGGTGCTTTGCATCAAGAACTCTTTTTTTTATTTACGGAAAAGCAATAAACAGAGAAGACCTATATTTGTAAGGCCAGAATATGTTAAAAGAATAAAGCTGTACAAAGTGTCTGTGGAGAAAAGAACTTTGCTCTGATTAGTTAAATATGAGATCATTGAGTGAGTCTTAGATTCTGCCAATAAGGCAAATACTCATTCGTCATGCTGGACGTCTTTTTGTATGAAAAATAATAATCCTTCAAGATACTGATCCCAAACAAACAGAGAACGCAATAAAACAGTATCTTAATAGAAGTAAAGGAATGGTATTATTGCATGCTAAGTGTGGCTTTGAACAGGGCTTAGACTTCACTGATGGCGAATGAATTTGGAACTACTTTGAGAAAAAACACCAAAGACAGAATCAAAGGAGAGGTTCTGAGCAATACTCCAAGACGCCTGGAATTCAGTTTTCATAAAGTATCTCAAAAAGCTTGAATATAGCACTCCTCATTGGCTTCAGTGATTTCAGCTAAGTAAGGTCACTAAAATATTAAGTAAATAAACTCTAAATTTGTTTTACATATGCATATGTTTTGTTTGTCATATAATATTAAGTTCTCGGCATAAAGGAAACTCAGTATGTTTTGTAATTAAACTAATTTGGTTGATGATTGTTGTAGTTGTATTTAAATTTAATTGCACAGTACTGTATATATATATATATATATATATATATTTATGTACACCCAGTTTCAGAACTACAACAATAATATAATGTAAGAAACACTTAAGTGTAACACTGTACTAGTGTGAATTTGCAGATTATTTTCAATTTGAAACGTAATATTACGTGTGGTAATACATATATTTTAGTATTAAATGATTCTGTAGAAAAAGGTAAAAACGATTGTTGGTTATTAAAATGCTATTAATGTCTTCATATACAGGAAGAGATGATCATTGTAATTATTAGCATTATGCACATATTTCAAGTTAATGTATTTTAATTTTATCAAAAATAGTGGGTGAATTCAAAAAGGTTTGATCACACCTCAGCTAATTAACTATAGTGTAGCATTTTATGATCAAAGTTACAATGATTATATATGAATATTATCAAAGTTATAAAGACAACTGGAATCATCGTCTATTCACTTGCGATTTAGAACTTCAACTAAAATATTTGATTCAAAAATATAAAATACAATATTATACATATATCTCTATGAATATGATTTTATTTTCTAGAACTAGTTCACTTGATATTCCTGAATCTGGATTATAACATATTTGAATACATCATTTCAGTGAAGACACTTTTTTATATCTACTACGAACATACTTTTGCAAACATACATAGGAGCTAATTTAAAAGTATGAGAAAGATGCAAGATAAATTATATTGGGGAAAGTAAAAGTTAAGAATCCTTTGATAAAAATAAATAATACTATAATGTAGATAAACATTAATTCTTGTTTGAATGAAAAGATTTGTTTATAATTGAGCAAAGAGGTCACGAACAGGTAGTAAATAAATGCTAAAATCTACAAATCAGAGACCCTAGCTTAATTGCTGAGATACCTTTGTCCATTAATATGCATAAATCATAAACGAAAGTAACGTTCGTTTTCCTTTCTTTTATTTTTCTCAAAAGTGCGCATGCATTTCTACATTTCTTTTTGTTAATAACATTCATAACCCCTTATGTAAAACAGGGACACATTTGAGAGTAATTATACAACTTAAGAACTGTTATCTTCCTGTAACAACAGAATCATTTAGAATAGTTTTAAACAGAAAGAGCTAAATCAGCCACATGACAAAAAATAAATTATTATTTAGAAACTGTGTACACATCTAGTATATATGTTTATACAATACATCAGAGGAAATTAAATATGCACTAAATAACCCAGTTATTTTAAGACTGAAACGGGATATTAATCAATCAAGTGTGCATCACTTACAAATCATTAAAATGTCGATCTATGAAACGAAAATAAGATGTGGGAAAGAACAAAATTTGAGAAACATAAGAAACGAAAAGTAGAAAATTCTCGTAATATCTTAACTAATACATAATTAAAACAGGCATATAATTTTTTCATTTTCCTAGAAACTGTACTGTTGTAATGACACTGTACCATTCTTTTTAAAGTCCTGTAGGTCTGATTACACGACACTTTTAGGTTGGACATAAACCCTGCATTGTTTTTCTTAAAAATTTCAGAGCACGGCAGTGATGTTACAATAGTTTAACTAATTTTAAATGATGAAAGATTATTCAAATTCTGCATTGGATGAAGTAATAGTGAATTCACAATTCAGGGTATATCTCCTTCTTCTTCGTTCCGCATAATGTGCATGTGTATTGCATTTTTTCCTGCGAATATTTTGTTTCAGTTGTTTGTTTTTTGATTAAATAGGACTACACTTCAACTTTTTTTTTTATTTGCTTTATCAGTTGCAGCCTCAATTGTTTAATTTCATTAAATGTGTTGATTCCAGTTACGCCATCAACTTTATATAATTTCATTGTATAGCTCAATATCCTAGTTGTGTATGAATGAAAGTTCTTATTTATTTATTTACTCCATTCTCTTTGGTGAGAAATTTTCTAAATTTGTAGAAATGCTGATTTGGCGCTTGTTTCATTTATTGTCTTTCATTACATTGTAGCAGTAATTCACACAAATATATATAATTGGAATGTTTCAGCTATTCTACATATCTAAGACACTTCGTATTGTAAAAACATGCTTCTCAATTTATTTCCAAACAGTGCTGTTCTATGTGTTTAGATTTACTGTATTTCATCGTTGGCTCTTTTATAAGCGCCATTTCTAACACTATGCTTAGAGAAGCTAAATGATTTTCGGTAAAATTCGTATTCACCATTGATTTTTTTAGTGTTAAAACGGAAATTTTACTAAAATGCTATGACTGACAATAGATAATCATACAACTACGAAGAGCAGTTACAAATAAATATCGGCGTAAACATTGAATGATGTACCCAACTACTACAGCATATTGATTTAACAGCTAAAATCAGGGTATAAGCGATGAAAGCGTTTTTTGTTTAAAAGGAACAATCACAGGTGTAGTGGGCTAGGAACGCATGAGCAGGGAGTACCTGTATTTTTTTATTATGTTTTTGCCGGAAGATCGTACCGCCACTATTTCGAATGAATCCCACATTAAACGGTAATGCAGTAGATTTCGCATTCCCGCACTACTTTATTTAACACTACACCACTTCGAAACAATTTCATAGAGAATAAATTACTATTAAAAGTAATAAGTAGTCATGATTTGATTTTTATAATACACGAACACAGGAAAGCACAAGAGATAGCAGGTTTAGAGCATTAATTTGTGATTCCACCTTGTTATTTAAGAATCAACATAACATAACCTTCATTTGTATCGCACAATATGCATTAGAAACTGTTACAGACGTTCAGTTATTTTTACATGTTCGCAGTGCCATAATATGATTTTTGTTTAATAGCAGAAGGAAAAAAAGAGTTGATTTGAGATAAAAATTATACTATTGTTGAAAATAATATTTATATATTAGTTACAAAGAATGCAGGATATCAAATTGGTTCATATTTATATACATTACTGGTACATAAAAGCACAATTGTTGTTTTGATCTACTTTATATACTGAAAACTTACCTGACATAGCAACTTGTATCAATATTAATAAGTTCAGATAACTGTAAAATCGTGACCTCTTCATTTCATCCTGTATTAGTAGTTTCTCTAGCGATATATTGGACTTCTCAAACACCAGATACTTAAAAAAGTAAACCTTTTATTATTTTTCTTTTCTTTCGTATAGTTAAAGACTCCTTAATGTGAAACAAGTTGAGTTCCTTAAAAAGGTTTTCTAGGAACTCTTAAATCCAGGATTTGCCCATGCAGTTAATGAAAGCCTACGGCACACCTGCTCACAGTCGGAGCAGCTAACATTCTGCTTGTGAAAGTAAAAACGTTTGGTTCTCGTCCTCTAGAAAAGGCAGTGATCACCGGCGCCACCTAGTGAAGTGTTTACTCGTTACATACGAATCCCGGTGTCTGACAATAACATGACTCACTTTATCAATATTTCATCGTTTGTAAAAAAACGAGAAACAGAATATTTTACTAAATTATGGCAATTATGAATGAAATTCTAAGTTCAGAAATAGGTGATGCCTAATACATGTGTTAAAATGTAGTCTACGTTAATCATTCAGAAAAAGAAAAAAAGACAGTAATTTCAGCTTCTTCGGATGATGACTTTGTGACAAAATCTAAACAGCAAAACTACATTGAAGTAATTTATTGTAATTTTGTTATTATGTTTGACAAATTATCTGAGAAAGTCCAGGCGTAGCATAGTAGTCAACGTGCCCGGACTATGCATCAGAGGATTTATGGTTCACGTCTCCCATTACTGGATAAAGTTAACGGCGTATTGGGACCATTGGTGCGCTCTATGAATGACATGTCAAAGTCCATTTTTTACCAAACAGAAGAAGCCCAAATCTTGGCTATAAAAACTGTTGACTAGTTACCTTCGCTCTAGTCAAACAATTCAAAGGTAGGAATGTTATGTGCATATAGTCTTTACTGTAGCTTTGCGCAAAATTCTTAAAGAAATAAACAATAATCTCTTTACTATTTTAGAAAGATTTTAAAAAGAAATAATTATGTAATATGCAGGAGCGAGGCTTTCTGATTCGTCTGATGATGGGTCAGTTGTTACCTAGTCTTTGACGTATGAATACGAGAGTTCATGGTATGCGACCAGTTGCGACATAAAACCTTCGACACTTTGGGGTAGAGGGTGCTCTATAAAAATGACGGTCAAACCCCACTATTCCATCAAACTGTACTAGCTTAAGATTTGGCAGTGAGTTCTGTTCAACATCTACTTTCCAACTTTTCTATCATTTCAAAATGGCATACCTTCTGTGTGCTCGAAAATTGTAAAACCAAGCATACTTCTTATGATGACTTTGTGGTAAAGTCGATTTATCAAAACTTTTGTTCTAAGACCATATGCGAGATATTATGCCTGCCTGTCAGTGTACAGGAGTCCTACTATAATAGGTTAAACTTTAAAAGAAATTAAAATAATAATATTTCTTTATTATTTAGAAGAGTCTTTCTGCTTCTCCTAATCATATCTTTATGGCAAGCCGAAAGGTAAAGACCATGCATTTGTGTTATTGAGTGTCTTGCAATAAAACTTTTATAGCCAGTTATCAATATGCAGAAGTACCCTCGTAATATTTTACTGTTATTTTAAAACTCGTTGAAAATAATTAAGATGTTCTGGTTATTGTTTTAGTGATTTTGTGACAAAGTCGAAATGTTAAGATTATTGAGCTCTTGCAATCAATACTTTGCGGCCAGTCATTAATACGTTGAAGTTTTTCTTAATGTTTTACTGAATATACTTATATAAATAGTTTTCAAATTGGAATAAAATTATCTTTATAAAACCAAGAATACTTTTATTTGTCTACATTAAAGTGACATTATTATCGCTGGTGTAGATAAAAAGTTTAGAAAAAACGACCTTTATATGTATAAATATATATATATATATATATATATATATATATATATATAGGAACTTTTTTTATTTTAACCAACGTTTCGCCTTTGGGGATTCATTAGAGTTAATATACACAGCTGGAGTAGATAGTCAACTTTGGTTTAGTTCCTTTGCTGGTTCCCTTTTGCTTTATAAACATGTAATTCCCTGATCGTGCCCAACCTACGGACTCGAGACCTGAATTACTTAAGTATGTTTGAAAGCCTTTCTGAACAAATAACACTGCTAGTTTCAACCAACACTATTAGCGTGATTGGACGTTGAAAGAGTTATGCTGTAAATTATTCAGAGTTTGTTTTATATAAATAAAAACATGCTAATAATAGCGTGCATTCCCAACAGATTCGGCAATGTTTACTTTGCGTAGCTAGTAGTCATATTAGTTTCCATGGTAACATAATATGATTTAGATTACCTTGTTTGTAATGTACATTGTTTAATATAAAAAAAAATAAAACTCATCATTCCGCTTTGGATAAAAATTACCTTTCATTTGAAACCATACACATCGTTGAAAGTTTAAAATTACCCATACGCATTTTATAAGCTAAGCAAAGAAATGGGAAAATGTGTTATTCATTTCTAATTAGATTACTCTTTTTTTGAATTTTACACGCAATATAGGTTAATAAAATTTAATACAGTATGCAGATTTCTGTTGTTCTGCTATGAAGATGATGTGATCCCAAATGTTAATGAAAGAACAAAGTTTCACTTAACAAAGAATCTAAAAATATGTGACAAACAAACGTTTTCTGATATTCGTAATTTTTAAGTATTTGGAAATATTGCTTTAACTACATTAATAAAATATAAATGATTCATATTGGTTGGTTCTCACAACGAGAAATACAGCTGAGGGCGTTACAGTTGTTTTTGGCGTATTTACGAAACGTACTTGTATTTCTTAATAATGCCTCAGATGAGCGTCGAAATATATCAGTCTAGTCCAGATCACCTAGAATCCTAGATAGTAGTTTCTACTACAGACTTCTACAGTACCAAGTTGAATTAAACTATATGAGACTTACAAAGTACCTATAGTGTCTTCTCTAGAATAACTTGTTTTATTTTATTCTAAATAACTCTAGTATATTTTATTTATTCCCAATGTTAGTTTACACTTACAGGTAAAACTTGTCTTCTGGGATACTGCGTACAATCACGCCAGTTCGTCAACAGAAAGTCAGCAATAATATTTCTTCTTTAGATAAAATCGTTTAAGGGGTACACTACGTTGAGAATAACATTGAGTACCATCTTTCCAGTTATAAATGCTACATATAATAATATTTATTTAATGGGATTTTTAATAGTATTTTCTTATTCAACTTTACAAAAAATATAATCCCACTAAAATAAAATGTAAGGAAATTTCGTATAAAAATATAGGTTAAACAGTATTAAAAACGTACCATAGAAGTGTAGGAATATATATATTTTAAAGTAAAATCATAATTAAAATTCAATACATATTAGTTCAAATAGACGTGAAACATGAACAATTTTAAATAAAACAAACGTCGATAAACAACTCAGTTCAGAGATAAGGTTTGTTTATTTGAAGTTAAGCACAAAGCTCCACAATGGGCTATTTGTGATTTTCCCACCACGAGTATCGAAACTCGGTTTCTAGTGTTGTAAGTCCGCAGAGATGCCGCTGTGCCAGTGGAGGACTCAGAAGTAAGGCATCATAACTGCTATAAATTATTTCATCAGTACCTTTAACTGAATTATTATCCACAAAATTGGTTTGGTTTTGAATTTCGCGCAAAGCTAAACGAGGGCTATCCGTCCTTCATTTAGCAGTGTAAGACTAGAGGGAAGGCAGCTAGTCATCACCACCCACCGCCAACTATTGGGCTACTCTTTTACTAACGAATAGTGGAATTGATCGTCACATTATAACGCATCCACGGCTGAAAGGGCGATCATGTTTGGTGTGACGGAGATTCGAACCCGTGACCCTAAGATTGCGAGTCGATCGTCCTAACCACCTGGCCATCTACAAATTTGTTGATATTTTTTAGATAATTTATAGTGCGGTAAATTATTAAAAGTACGGTTAATATACTCTGAAGGTTGTCTAATTCATTAACTTTCTAAAAAGTAATATCGATTTTGTACTTAAAAATAAAAAATAGATAATTTTAGTGTGAGTCTAAAGAAAATAAAAATGGATAATTTTTAAGTTTACTCTAATTTATAATTGCAGCCTGCATTTTATCGTCGTTTATGCGCACATTGTTTACGCCCTTAAATGGAATATTAATATTTATTTTCTTAAACTTCCTAAGAGAATATAATGTAGTTTTTTCTACCATTTATCAGTTTGTGGTTTCATACTCAACTATTTGAGTAATTGTTAATTTGAAACAGGAATATAATCTAGGTGAATATGTTTTAAACGTAAAAGAGGAATTTTTCCTTAGTTTTTAAATTATACATTTTCAAAGGTATTTACAACCCCTTTTATTTCATATATTTACTTCAACATGCCTATTTTATGTTATTCGAAGCTAATGATTGTATTTCTTTTAAAAGTAACATTATAATTCTAAACAATGTCACGAATAAGAGAAGGTTACATATGTAGGAGTCGTTCATCATGCAGCTTTTCAAATAAGATTTTAACTTAAACCAGCGAACGTCTCTGCTAACGCTAAGCATATCACAAGGGACCAGTTAGAACAACAATCTATCTACCCATCCGGACTTTATTGGATTACTCTCTTGACTGCATGCGAATCTAGATATAAGCTGAAAGCTCTGAACATAGTTTGCAGTGAATAAGATTTCTTATTATAAATAAGTATATTAGACAATCGTCCCGTTTTGACCTGAAACCCTGAAGCATAACATTATCTGAGAGCAAACTCGTACCGTCAAACACAGTGTGAAACCAAACTTACATTCAGAGTCTGGAATATCAAGACGACTGATTGAGTCACGTAAATGTTTTGCTAAGTGAATTTTTTTTTAAATTTTTAGTTATATTTATTAAATATGTTGTGCAACGAATTTATTGTTGTGTATTTATTTTTAATATGAACGTTGTTTAGGTTTAGGTTTAGGTGGTCAGTGTCAGATATGTATTGCATATAACGAATTTGTTATATATTTATTTTAATGACAACGTTTGTTGGGATTGAGTTTATATGTAAAAACGTGCCTAGCTTAAAGGCCCCCCAGTGGCACAGCGGTATGTCTGCGGACTTACAACGCTAGAAACCGGGTTTCGATCCCCGTGGTGGGCAGAGTACAGATAACCCAGATAGCTTTGTGCTTAATTACAAACAAACAATTCCCTATCTTACAGTGTTAGTTACGTATGGCGAAACT